CAACGGCTGGGGTCTTGGTTAGCTATTCAAATATTCTTGAAATTGGCTGCAAAAATTTGCTGATATCAGCGTTCAGAGGGGGTGCGTCGTCTTGCTGGAAAAATATGTTTTCGAGTTCCATTAAGGGCATATCATCAATAAGGGGTCCAAAGTCCAAAGCCTATTAGTTAAAAGTGGCGAACTTTTAAAAATTCTGTATTTCGAAGGGGATTATAACAAAATATCAAGTGTGCTATATTTTTGGAAAGGTAATTTTAAATTATTTTCAGTTAATTAAAAATATAGAGGGTGTCCTAAATAAACAATCCCTGTACAGGGTGGGTCAAATTCGAGATTTTTAAATGCAAACGCCCTTTCCTATAGGAGATAGGCGAAAACTATTATCGGTGTCTGGAGCCCAATTTTTATCAAAAACAATATGGTCATGTTTTTGATAAAAAATGACCATCAAAAATATGATGGTCAAAACTAAAATCGCTATCTGTTACCGTTTCGGTGTTACGGGGTGTTTTTCAAAAATGTGCATTTTTAACAAATTGTTGTAATTTGCTATGGAATTTTTTTTTATGAAAACATTTCCAAAGCACCTTTTTACGTACAATTTAATGGTTTAAGTATAACTTTTTTAAAATTAATAATTTAAGAGTTATCAACAGAAAAATTGTTTTTTTTTATTTGGGACACCCTGTATATTTTTAATTAAATAAAAAAATAAAATTACCTTTCGAAAAATATAGCACACTTAATATTTTGTTATACTCTCCTTCGAAATACAGAATTTTTAATAGTTTGCCACTTTTTACTAGTAAGCTTTGGACCCCTTATTGATGATCTGTTCCTAATAGAACTCGAAAACATATTTTTCCAGCAAGACAAGGCACCGCGTTAGAACACTGAAGTTATCAGCAAATTTTTGCAGCCACTTTCGAAAATAATTGAATAGCTAACCAAGATCCCAACAGTTGGCCATCAAGGCCGTTGAACTTAATGCCTATATATTTTTACTTTTGCGGAAGAATAAAGGTTCTTAATTGCCCGTATAATCTAGACAAGAATTAGAAGTACTTAGCGATTATGCGAGGATGTCTTTTACCCCCAATGGGTTAATAAATTCCACGAAAAATGTTCAAAAACAGTCCCGTCTGTCCATAACAGTGACGGTCGCCATGTCGAACACCTGTAGGAAAATCTCATGTCTTGGTTTGCTATTAATTTTTATTGTTATTAGATATAGTTTAAATGGGTTAGTATAGTGATGTTGTTAAATATAATTTAAATTGCTATTAAAATCTGCATCTCTCATTTCAAATATTATTTTCGTTTTAATTGCTGCTCACAGCTAGATTTTTTTTGCATTACAGCCGATCAGTTCAAAGCCTATACTTAATTAAGTTCGAGCAAAATATCAAGTATGCTATATTTTTGGAAAGGTAATTTTAAATTATTTTCAATGGATTAAAAATATGTAGGGTGTCCCACATAAAAAATCAAATTTCCTGTTTGTAATTCTTAAATTATTAATTTAAAAAAAAATATAATTACACCATTAAATAAGAAATAAGAATAAAATTAGTATTGAAATCAATGTGAAATTTGTAATTTTTTGATATTGCGGATTTTGCTCTATCTCATAAAATAAAGTGGTGGGGGAATCTTTCAGAAAAATAAGGATAACTCTGATTTAGGTTAGCCGATTTAAACAAACTAGGGCTCGTTTAAAAGAGCTTATCTTGAAACCCTTTACTGACTGCATGTTCTACGCGATTTTCCCTCTTCTCAGACAGTTTGGACTATTTTTTCTAATGCATCTTTATTGTATTGATGAAAAGAGATATTTTGCTACAGGAGGTTCAGTATCCAATTTGGCCCACCAGGGTGTCCCATTTTCGTGTGTTTTGTAACGCTTCTCGTTGATGAGGAGAGCTACAATACTGCGGTTTTCACATCATTGTTTTACTTATTTGTGAAACTAAAAATGCGCTACACACATAGATTTGTACTAGGCCTCTTAGTTTCGGAAATACAGGGCGAAACTAAAAATGTTGCATTTTTCGACCTTCTGAGTATCTCGATTATCTTATAACTCATCGAAAAGATGAATACTGAGTCCTATAGAGCTTGGAATTCAGTGCTCAAAGTTGTGAAACTTATGTTCTTTAAAAGGAATACCCTGTATATTATATATTTTTGCCTTGTTTGATAATCTCTCTAAGAATAAAAAAATAGTAAATAGAAAAATTTCAGTACAATATTTGATTTTGAAAACTTAAATACACCTAGAGTAATATAAAAATACGCCTAATAAAGCATTAAAATTGTCTCTATTTTTACAAAAACGTATCTATTTCAAAAGCAGTAAGGTGCGATAAATCTTAATTAAATTTACCTTTATTTGAATCTTAGAAACTAGACATGTAATAATATACAGGCAGTTCTAGTTATCTATTAATATGGGACATTTTGTACCTTTTGAAAATAATTTTAAATTGTAGCTTTGGTAGTCTTCCAACAATCTGATCACTCACAATTTCTAAAAATTTAGTCGTGTAACTACAATACTCGTGTCGAATTAGGTGAATAACCCTGTAGAAGTAAATAGTGTCCAATAACGCATTCTGTGTTTACGAAATATTGGGACACCCTGTATTTAACAAGAAATTAATTTGCCTTTTTACAAGCGAGTCTATTTTAATAAAATGAAGCACAAAAAAATAATTATTTTCATATTACATTTCTCAAATTTTGCAGTAAAGTGCTAAAATAAAGGGCTTACTTTTTAATTATAAATGTATTAAGTATATTATGTCAGTTCAATTATGCTCATTATTGGAGGGTAATACACTCTCTATCATAAGTAGTTTCCGCAAATCTAAAGTGTTCGAAAGCTTTAATGCTACTAATGCACAAATCTTATTACAAGTGGGTCATAAATTATATATATTGTGAGTTTATTAGTTTATTATATATTATGACACTGACAATAAATAATTTTCGAGTACCAATCAGTAGTCGGGATTACGATTAGCTGTATATACTTGTTGACTTTTATTACATTTTAATATTAAACGCCCAATAACTAAAATAGAGATATATTTACAGGTATATTTATATTTTTGCTAAAATTACTTTTAAAAAATAATCAATCTTTTCTTTTTTAATGTACAGGGTGTCCCAGGCGGAGCGTGCATTAGAAGTTTATAGAGAACTACAACAACTAGATCGGAGATTTTTTCCACATCATTGTTTCACAATGAGATCTATCGATTAAAAATATTTTCAATATGGTGGAAATACCGGAGGTCGACAACAACTTTCTTATTTATACCCCCACTTTTTTATTAACATTAATATTTTCTATAAAATTTTATGAATTTTGATGTCAAAACCCTATATCTAAAGGGGCGTCCAGACCGGATGAGCGAGCAGGAGCGAGCAAGAATTCGGGTATGTTCTATGGGAACGCTTAACTGGTGTGGACGGCTCTGCGAGCGAGCGAATGATTGCTTGCTCGCGCTCGACGCTGTTCCACGCCGCGCCGTGTCGGTACATCAAAGAAAATTTGCGCTATTGCACGTTCGGTTTGGACGGGATTTTGTTTACCACGTTTGAGATCGAATATCAAAAATGGAATGGCCGAATGAAGTTGTTTTGGAACTAATAGAGGAGTACAAAAATCGTCAAGACCCGTAAGGTTATAGCTAGCCTTTCTCTAGGTGAAATTGCTTCTCGGTAATTGGTATCACTTTTCATTATTTTCATGTCAATTAAATCTAATAAGGTTAATACCTTATTAGATCTAATAAGGTATTAAAATTTGTAAGTGAAATCCGACAAAAGTTCTTAAATTTTCCAGAATCTCCTGTTTCAATTCAACATCGTTTAGTAAATTGTTAACACCATGACAAACTCGATTTTTAAAAAGAGTTATGTTCCACCATCTCCTCTGCAGTCGTTGCCTCTTTTGACGTTTCAACAATTTATAAAATACAATAAAAGACGCACAAGCAATAATTTTTTCCGACATTATGAACATGAAGTGCCACACACCGATCAACGGCGAACATACAAATAATCGCTGGTCTAATAGGTCTGGACGGAAGCTGATCATGTGCTCGAGAGCAGCAGAAATCACGAGCGAATTTGAATAAATGTTTGCTCGCGCTCGTTACTGCTCGCTCATCCGCTCTGGACGCCTCTTAACATTAACCATTTTTGAGGGAAAAAAATATTTTAAATTTTTGGAGGAAAATGTATATTATAGTACCACAAATGTTTTTGCTGGTACAAATGTAAGAACTTGACAACGCTGTTTCCGATACGCTTCAGTCCGTCCGCCAAAAAAAATGTATGGAAGGAAAGGATATGGAACGGAAGAGAAACGGAACGGATAGTGTGGATTGTCCTATTCATTTACATGATATAATATTTTATGTAAATGGAAGGGAGCTGATATGGAAGGTATAGTATATAGTGAGAATCAGCCTTTAGGTTTTTGGTTTGGTTCACAATCATAGTAAAGCACTTGGAAAGAATTCTAGATTCGGTTTAGTTTTTATGAACAAGCTTTAGGTTTATATTGTATTCAGCGGTGTTTACAACAATGCATTTTTTTTCCTAGTTATTTAGATTCAAGGGCAAAATAGGTACCCAGTCGTTTTCAAGAAATTAACCTGCCTGTCCTGCCTCAAAACATATTATTACATAAACGCAGAATAACACTACTCAACAAATTTAAAGGAAAAGAAGGCGACTGAAGTACTAGGAGGTCTATGGAGGTATTTGAGGTACCCTGACGAATCTAGGTTCAAAAAATTTCCATCACGTACAGATTTTGAATTACAGAATGTATTGGTTATTTTTATTTTTTTCTGATATTTTCATATAATTTATACTAAATTTTAAATGAAAAACTTAGTTTAAGAATAACAGGTTTTATTTGCAACAACTTGAAATACATTTATACTAAATCTTTTAAAGACAATTTTTTCGCAAATGCTGACTTTTGCTTATAGTCCTGGTCGCTTTCCCTCACAAGAAACCAACAGTAATCTCCCATCAATGTCGGATTCCATCTGCCTTGGTATCGTTGCTCCACTGTTAGTATGTCCTGGTGGAACCTTTCTCCATGCTCGTCGCTCACTGCACCTAAATTTTCAAGAAAGAAATTTAAATGCAAGTGCAAAAAGTAAATTTTGAGAGATATGCGACAGCCCATTTTATTATAGTTCTCAAGTAATTCTTTTACAAGTTTTTCATAGGTTTGTACTTTTCTGTTTCCTAAAAACTACAACACTTACAAAAAGTGAACTTTTTCGTTTTTTTTTGCGTTGCAAACTATTAGAATATTATTTTCATTTTTTTGTTCTTTGACATTATAAACATTTATAAATGTTTATTTTAACAATAAGACTGACAATATTATTTGTATAATGTTTTGTATTATCTTTTGGTTGTTTGTTTGTGTACCTTGTTTTTTTACTTTGATTGTTAATTTACCTTTGTCTACAAATTGAAAAATTTTTTGACAATAAAGGAATTTATTTATTTATTTATTTATTTAAACACTTACACGTTACACTAATTTATATTTTTTTAATATTAACAAAAATTGATTTGACACATGCTGTAATTTAGTATAATTTGATTTTAATTATTTTTTCCATCAAAAATCTTACGTGTTAGGAAATTTTTATTACCATTTTAGATTTTAGCAACCCAAAATTACCAAGAATCAGCCTCTGACATCACAGTCGCAAAATGACTGTAAAGTAGTGTAATTATTAACTTAATAAAATTAATATTTTATAAGTTTCGTCTGATCAGTGATAATAAACAGTACAAAATGAGATGACAATAAATCTAAGCCAATCTATTATGTAATTGCAGCGCAAATACTCCAAACGCCAATATATCTTTATGAAGCGTAAAGCGCGTCGAGTGCACATGTCACAAAACTACACACAATACAACTTACCAGGATAACCTCTTCATTTGGAGTGTTATATTCTGAAGCACTTCAAATTCGGAAGTTGTTCACTGCTAGTTAGTCTATATAATTCACCAAATTTGTTTAATTTTTACTATATCTGATTATCTATATATAACAACGTTGTGTATTTTACCTAATAGTTAGATTATTATTAGGAATTTTATTAAAATTATTTATTATAGAATCAATATTCATTCGTTTATAGTCCATCAGTACTTATTTTTTAATTATCTCTAATTTATTTGACACTAGATTCCGATTCTAAACCGTCCTAGAATTGTGATACGCCTGTGCAGGAGGACATATAAGGAAATATTTCATTTGCGCATGCGCTGTGATACGGTTCAGACTCGGTAATAACAAGAACCCGAGCTACATTTGTTCGTCTCTTTTCTCTCTCTCTATTTAAATCATGTGCACTCCCCCGGAAGATCACAAGAATGCTATAAAAATCGGAGAATTCGGAGAAGAACTATTGGAATATGTGGCGGAATTCAATTACAGGCAGTTTGATTTCGGAAAAGGCCAATATTGACTCTTAATCTCAGCACAGGATTAGCAGCGCCTCAAGGGCATTCTGGAAATTACAAGACAGGGTTTTCTACAATCATGACTTAAGTACAAGAACGAAACTTGCAGTGTACCGAACCAGACCTGATTATGACAAATCTATCGACACCTTATATGTTAAAATCCATCGAGCAGATTGGGCTAGAGTACTTGCCGAAGAAATTTACATACATTCATAGAATCGAAAAGCAGCAGGATGAATATAATGTGGACTATTCCAAATTAACAACATAAAGACCTACGCTTTAATCCGTAAAAAAATATATATGTATTAACATCTCGAAAAACTGCATTTAACAAATTAAAATTTAAATCAATACATAAATGATGAGCCAATCAAAGAATTTAAATCAAAAATAAACCAATGATTGCCGATTTAAATTCTACAAAAAAGTTTTTGTCATATCATAGTTAATTGTTCATATATTTTTGCGTTGTACTATAAATTTAAATAACCACAAAATCTGTTGTCCACTATACATTCTGTCCTAATACTCCGTGGACATACTACTACCAATTTTTGGAATCAAAAAAAGTTCATTCGACATAATTTATTTTAATAACCGTTAGTCCGATTTGAATGAAATTTTGGATGTCTATGTTTTGCTAGGTGTTTTAACATTTGGCTTTCACAAAAATCAAGGAAATGTACTGGTAAACAACTATGTATTTTTTGGATGAAAATAAGTTAATTGCACATAATTTACCTTTATACAAAAGTGCTTCGTTTGTCCGTTAGAGGGCACCAATCAAAATCAAATTTTAATCAAAATTAAACCCGAACGTTAATTAATTTAACAATTATATTTTTTAAACTTTTTATGAAGCTTATTGTCAAATATAATTTGTAATACTAACATAAAATTACATAGTTTTGCCAACTAGATTATTAGTGAATAATAATGCAGTAATAATCTAGTTGATGGTGGAGGCAAGAATGTGACTCTATCGACAACAAAGTGTCTTGTCTCTGGGAAATAGGACAGAAACAGGACACTCAAAGATGGGAAATTCTATCGGGGAACTTTAAATTCTATCTACTCCAAATGAGATCGGACCAAATGACCCCTCTTTATCACTACCACAAACCATTCGGGGTGAACAAAATAGATCGAGGAATGTGGACAGATATAACATTCCTTCAGGATGGACTAACCTAGTATACAGACGGGTCAAAGACCGCTATCGGAACAGGAGCTGGAGTATTTGGCGAAAGACCAAGGGTAAGTTTGTCATTTTCCTTGGGTAACCACTCAACCGTATTCCAGACAGAAATCTTCGCCATTCTACAATGTGCGAGAGAAAACAATAGAAGATCTTATTCAGATAAGCTCATCCATATATGCTCAGACAATCAGGCGGCACTTGGGGCGCTTATGAGCCCAAAGGTATCGTCGAGACTCGTCTGGGAATGCCTAGGTGAACTGGGAGCTCTGGGTCCAAGGAACAGAATTAAATTATTCTGGGTGCCTGGCCACAGCGGCATCCAAGGCAACGAAAAAGCCGATGAACTAGCTGGGCAAGGATCATTGGCATCCTATCTTGGTCCAGAGCCAGTACTGGGAATACCCAAACATATGGCCCGTAGTGCACTAAAACTCTGGATCAGGGAAAAACAGAATGTCCACTGGAGAAACAGACAGGGGCACAGGCACAGCAAAGCTTTTATCCAAGGACCTGGTTCTAAAACCGCAAAAGAACTGCTAATGCTTAGCAGGAATAAATTGCGGATTACAACAGGCCTCTTGACAGGACACATGGCTGTCAAGTGTTACGTGAACAAGCTCAACCTGTATCAAGGAACTCTTTGCTGCAGACTCTGCGATAAAGATCCTGAAACAGCGGAGCACATATGTCACTGCGAGGCTCTGGATCGGAAGCGACACTTTTTATTTGGGAAAGCTAGGCTAGAACCGGAGGAACTATGCTCCCATCCTATCAAGGACCTGCATAAGTTAGTGTAGGGCACAGGGATAGGAGAATGGGTGCAAATATAGAAAGGGGACAAACACAATAGGCCTCACAGGTCGCAGTATTTCCGGCAGAGTGAAAAAAAATAGTGCATAATAATATCCAGAGCTTTATGTGACAAAAAACATTTTTTAGAAGTCAGCTTTGAAAAAATATTTTTTTTTCTCAAAAATTATGCACGGATGCGTTTTTTTTACAAGAGAAAAAATGTAGTAAATACTAAAGGTACCGTTTTACGAAAATAAAATCGTCCGTCGGTGGAGATGGAAAATATTTATACTAAAATTTATATAGGGGTGGGGGTACTTTTCACCCTTTCCGTACTTTTTGTTGATTTTTGTAAAAGCCAAATGTTGCCAAAAGAGCACTTAACAAAATATAGACACCCAAAATCTCATTCAAATCGGAATAACGGTTTTTAAAATATCTGAAAAAATGTGTTTATTTTTTTAAAGTTTGATGCCCTCTAGCGGACAAACGAAGCACTTTTGTATAGAGGTAAATTGTGTTCAATGAACTTATTTTGATTCCAAAAATACGTAGTAGTTGTATGTCTACGGAATATTCGGACACCCTGTATACAAGCTGAACTAGTAGATTATACAATAAATAATTCAATAAGTGAGGATTCCAAATTATCAACAGTATTCCGAATTACCCACATTTACTCTAAGTAAAAAAATACAATTCTTGTTTAAAAAAAAATACAGCAAACACGGAAATATAATTTTTAGATATTGATGTTCTGCTTAGTATAAATTTATCGTATGGCTCATGTACATGCAAGAAAACCAGACTCCTAAACATAGACATAAAATAAACTACAATGTAAGTGAAAACATTACAATGTAAATATAAAAAAACGTATATGATAAAAAGACAACATAAAAAACGTATTTAGGAACACTATATATTAACATCTAGATGCCCTATCCATTCCACAGCTGCTGGAGAGGCCTCTAGAAAGTCCCTCCAGTCTTCACCATAAGCGTGTAGGTTGCACTCTCTAGCTATGTCATGGATGGTTTGGTGAGTGGATCCGCAATCACATTCTGGGGAAGGTATTTTACCCCACTTATAAAGGGAATCCGCACATCTTCCATGGCCAGAGCGTATCCTATTCAAAGTTGACCATGTTTTCCGGACTTAAAAGTATAAAGTCAAATAATTTTAGATTGAGCATTTGAATTTTTCAAGATTTGCGGGATTTAATATCGGGATTTGGATGATAAACATACACTCGGGTTTCTGGGATACACTCCTTGTGAGGACTTTTGGGAAATTAATATAATATACTTTAGGTATAGGAAGTAAAAATAATAATTTCAAATATATTGGCGATTTGATCAGATACATCAGTAAAGATAAATTAATTAATATTACTAAGTAACCTTCATTTGAAAAAAAGTCAATTACGAAAGTTTTGAAACAAATATGATATCGCATATCAAATTTTTATATCAAAAATGATAATATAGAAATCAGGCTTCGTAAACGAATCATAATAAACTGGATGTACGCTTTATCTCTTGTTTGTTTGTCTTATCGCCTACCTGTACATATATAGATATAACATAACATAATAAGTAATCACTCTTATTGATTTTAGTAAATCGATTTTTTCTTTGAGATAAGAACGAATAAACGAATGTTGCTATCGTAACTTTTATCACGGTTTTTATACATGAATCTCTAGGTATAATTATTGTATAAATAGAATATATTATATATATTCCTTCTTGATTCCGTTCAATGCACGTTCAATGATAATCAAAAAAATACATTTTTTACATATTCGTTATTTAGCAACAGAATGACAACGTCGCTTTCTTGTCTAGATTTCTTTTTGTACATATCACTATGATGTTGCATGAAAAAAATAAACATGTTTTTTTGGTTTATTAAAGGGCAAAGTAACAAAATTCCTATCTTTTCAATAGATTTACGTCACAGACTTTTTTTTGAAATACAAACATATTTTATGATATTGCCAAAGGTAATTTTTAGAAAAATAAATAAAGATATACATGTATGAATCAACTACTTATTATTAATTAAATGAAATAAAAAATCTTATAATTTAATGATTAATCATTTCAACGAGCTTCTCACGATAGCGTCATGGAGAGTGGTAACGATAGAAAGTAGTATGCCAATGAGGAAGTTGAGATGGGTCTTTGGAGCATCGTAACTCGGGCTCTATATGAGCTAGGGGGCGAAACTCTTCGAACTCCATCTACATTTCGATGGAGCTCCGATTTAAAGGGTCTCTGGAGCGTTGTAACTAGGGTCCTATGTGAACTAGGGGGCTGAGAGACAGGGAATGCATCAAGCCTATGGTCTTTTAACGACTCTAATATTTACAATTTCTAGAAATCTAATAATTTTGCTACAAAATACCGCATCGTATAGCGTGAGATACCTAGTATATTTTAATAAAAAACAATTTAGGATATTTAAAACAGTAAAATATCAGAAATTCCATCTCATAAGTATTGTTTTTTACACTCTTATTAATATAATAATTGTACGAAAAAGATAATCATCTAGTAAAACAAAAATATTAAAGCTTTTTTAAGTAAATTTCCATCTTTTTTTATTTATAAGTATAATGTATTATAAAAATCTTGAAATATGAAGTAATTCTGTAAGACATTTATTAATACCGAAAATACATGATCGATCTTGATAAAATAGCGAAATATTTCATAAAAAAAAATTAAATTGTTAGTGAATTCAATTTCTCTTATCCTTAAGTGGAGGATCACGAAAAACGCAAAAGAAAATATTAAATTTTATCAAACCCTCTATATCGCATAACAAAACAAAAGAGTTGAAGTAAAAACAAGAAATGTTTCATGTAAAGTAGTATTTTAGAATTGATTTTTTGGAAAAATCCATATTTCGTTGGAAACAAGAACATCAAGAATCGTAATGGTGAAATATTATATCTATAAAAGTTGAAAGGGACGCTGGTAAATTCGACTGGATTTCTAATTTACATTCTATAATCTACATTACCACAACATTTAAAAAGTGAAGAAAAAACATTAGTTTAAATAATTTAGATGGTTTTCTCTTTAATTACAAAAAAATGATTTTATAATTTATAAAGAGTCATTCAAGGCGATGGTAAGTTAGAAGTTTAGGGAGAACCGTTGATAATTTTTAAAATTTGCGTTTTCAGCGTCACAATGTTGCTCAATATTTGAAAAGTAGTAGCGTTGAAAGTAGAATTGTGAAGATACGCAACCTAATGGGCGAATTCGTGACTAGGATGATTTGATTTCCCCTTACGCCTCAAGTGTTGTACGGTGGAGCCTCCACTCGTTCTGCGGCCAACACATAAAACACTCATTTCCTCTAATTCGGCTTGCGAAGTCATATCGAAGACGGTGTGGCACTGAAAGCGACAGTGTTGCCATATTAAAATGTGTAAGATCTGTAATACGGTTGACAAAAATATCTTTGGATGAAATATCCACGTTTATGTATAGAAAATTTATTTGTGTTAAATATAGAATAAACAACAAAAAAATAAATAATTTCTATAGGTACTGAATATTTCGTACCCGATTTCGTATGATCGAAAAAAGACGTTTAGTTGGCTTGGAAATATCGAACTATTGACATTTACCATAATATTTTACATATGAAATAACAGCGATCTTCACTTCCAAGCCAACTCTGACGCCGTTTTTTGTTTAATCATATAATATTATATTAAGTTGTTTAATGATAGAAAATCCGTATTATTAACAAAATATCCAGAAGATATACGTACTTCCGAAAGGCGATTCCGTCAGAAGAACGTTTGGCGTTAACATTACGGTTCCTCGCAAGTAGTGATTCTTTTACTAGTTTGCAGTATATGTGGAAAATATCCAAACAGCTGATATCCGAAATAGTTCCTGAAGTCTGCCAGGCTCTTGTTGATCTTTTAAAAGAATATATCAAGGTAAGTTTAGAAAAACTTTATTTGCTTACTAACTACGTACCTTTAAATATAGTAAAAACTAAAAACAACATAAATATTTATTAACTGTAATCATCTTCACCATCATAAGAATGAAAGAATCTTGCCACGCTTGAATGGGAATCATTTGGAGACGTTTGCGGAGTTGATACTGTGGACGAAGATTGTAGTCGACGATTGCTGACGTCCCTGTTCAGTTTTGTCAGCAATTTCCCCCCAAGCATCTTCTTTATTAATTTTATTGAAATACAGCTCATATTTAACTTTCCATAAAATAGGCCCTTTCTCTAAAATTCTTTGATTAATTGTAAACACCTGTCTTGCTAAAAATCCATGTCGTACGAGGCCGTTCGGTGTGTGTTATACGCTTGTGTGTGTGTGTTATACGCTACTAAAAACCCGTCCAGGCTGAGCACAAATTTCCTTTGATGGACCGACAACTCTCGGATCGGCTGGCGCACCGCATGAGCGTGTTCGGCGCAGTGTGTTCGTCCGTCTACATTTGGCTCAAAGTGCTCATTCGGTTCGTTTGCTCAGATGTGTACGCGGCTTGATAATATAAAATAATTAAAAATTTAAAAAAATATATTTTTTGCTTAAATTTTGAAAACCACTGGCTCGTTTCTGGGTTATCTTTCTTGTAAATTTAATCTACTACCTATGTTGCCACATTGTCAAGAAAATATGTTTCTTTTTAATATATTACTTTTATCGAGATCTACCAGGCTTGAAAATATTTGGACATATTTAAGACTCACCCTGTATAGGTGAATTATTTTTTTAATTTTATATCGATTTAAAATTTTCATCTGTACTTTATATAAATAACTGATAAAAAAAACATTTATGTTATGTCATTAGCCAATGATGGGTAAACTGTAGCACGATATCTCTGCATGATCACATATTAAATACAAAACGATATTGTATTTATTTAATTAGAACTAGATGTTTAAAAATGACAAAAAAATAATAAAACACCAAAGATTAAATTTTTCTCTGACGTCAAAGTGAATATGTTACCTTTAAATAAAGTCCTTTAAAATAATAATTATCAAATTAATATCTTTATTGCAGAGAACCTGTAGGTCCACTTAACTTAATATTTAAACATTTTTAAGTGTATGGCACTTAAAAATGTTTAAATATTAAGGGCTGTTGTACATTAAGTAGTAGTAGATCAAACATATTTGCGGATGATTTTATAGATAACATATGTTAAAACAATTTAAATTACATTGTTACAAGTTCTACCATATGGTTCGTATCATATAATCAATGGCGCTTTTAACGGGAAAAGGATTAGGCGTTGATTGAAGGAAATAAGAAGATGGGCTAACCTTATGGGCGATTTCGTGGCACAAATACAGGTAGTGGCACTACCTGTCCGAGATACAGCTAGCGAGACTTAGTGCTGCTGCGCACTGATCGAAAAAAGTCATTTACAGCGCAGCGGATAAAGACTACTCATATACTCATACTTCCGTCATAATGAAAAACGCAGTAACCTTAGAAATCGCAGTTTCGAGAAAAACGACCTCAAAGTTTAGAGCGTGTTTTTTTTAAATACATTTTGTTTAACTTTCACTGATGTGATTGCAAAGTATAGTGTCTTGTGACTTTATTAAACAGGTTTTTTGATAGTTTGGTATTTTTATAATATTTTGTTGAAGAAAATGCGTTTCTCGTTAGTACCTTAGCACTTTGATGTGCAGCCATTGGGTTCAATTGTAAAAAAACTATTTTTACATTAGTTTCTTGATAATATTGATTAATTAAACTAAGTTTTAGGGTACCAATAGGGTACCTTAACGAAACAAATAAAATCTACCAATTTAAAATGTCGTTTAAATTTAAGAAGTTATGGCATTTTGAATTACTGCGTGTAATTAAAGCATATTACGTAGAAATGCTATAATAAAAATATTACTTATGATTAGGAACGACAACTAAAAAAAATAAACACAAAGGTATCAAAACAATATATTAATACATATAATAAAATTACAGATAAACATCAGATTAACAAACTATTATTCAAATGATTCGTTTAGATCATTGGATTGAGATGAGAAAATGATCTCTTTTCTTCGCCCATTAGAGGACAAAGCTTTTGGATGATGGCTTCCTTTTTTGATTTAGTTATGCCCCTGGGTCGATTTCGAGATGGCGGCAGAAGAATCCCTTCTTTTTCGGCTTTAATTTTCAAAAAAGAAAGCTCTATATCATAATTTTTACTGTAGGTTAAGGAATATTTCCCACGTTTTACAGAGACTGTCGTCATTTCGGAAACATAAGATTCGTGGTTCGGTTTTTTTAATTCTTACTTGTAACGAACTGTCAGTCCAATCGTAAAAATTATTTGGCCTCATTTTTAAGATTATAACCTTTCCAGAGTTTGTTGCCTGCATAGCATCTCTGAAATCTCTAACGTCGCATACACTCCCCTTATGCTTCATAGAAAGTTCCACCTGGGGCCTGTAACACAAAATCTACAACTGTAACAAGTGTAGAGCTTGTTGAAGATTCACTTGTAGCTACAATTCCTGTTAATTTCTGTAACACAAAGTTCTCAAAATGACTTGTAATAACGGCGAATATTTCTAACAAGTGTAACTAAAGTGCACAAGAGTTGTAGGACAGACGCACTAAGCAAGTTCGTTCTAAAATTAATTTTGGTAAAAATGTCTTCGAAACAAGTGGTGTTTGCTAGAAAAATGCAATGGCTTATGCAAATTAAAGAAAATAAAGAGGTTCTTTTTGGGGCACTCTCGGATACTCTTCGAAAAGAAGACAAGGTGAAGCAATAGAAAGAGTTCTCTTGCTCAAAGCATGTGCTTAATGCCCTTAGAGAAAGATTGGACATACGCAAGAGATACCCTTTGGCAAAATCTAAAGAAGAGTGCAGTGGTAAGTGTTTTATGTTGTATTTTGGATTAAAACAGATTCTCAAAATTACAAAAAGAGAAAGCGTCTAATCGCGTATCTGTTTTGTTAGTGTATGTTATAATCATAGAGTGTTGTGCAAAAAAATACCTACTAATCCATAATCATTTAAGCTCCTATTAGCTTGCACATTCATACATAGTATGTGAAAGCTTGCTCATTTGTTTCTTTTTTATTTACCGCTGAAGAACGGAGTATTTGTTGGTATCTAGAAAAATAGATATATATTCTTTAAATCTCCTATTTTAGTTAAAATTGGATAATGCGAAAAATGTGTCCCCCATTGCTTAACCAGTGTAGTGCAATCAACATTTTCTGTAGAGGCTGCAGTCCATACCACCACGCTGTTTTTGTAGCGCCGGAGAGAGGTCTTCTACAAGATCCTGGCATTGCGCTCTACTTAGTCGAAAACGATCCTCAAATTTTTTATCGGAAAGGAATGCAAAGTCAGTTCTCTCTCTGAATCGATATGGCAGACGAGGTTCATTTTCGTCATCACTTGAATTTGACCACATTGCGCGAGACGTGTGAATAAAGCAACGCCTTCTTCTAAACTGATTCTTGTAGAATTTTGTACCCACCTTTTAAGCATGGTTAAATTGTGCCTACAATTGTAATGGAATGCGTAACATAAACTTACAAGTGTTATTTTTGAGTTACAGAACAGAACTGCAATTGTAAAATATTTTCTGTTATTATAAGTCTTACACAGGTAAGTACAAGTTGCCGTGTGTTACGAAACTTTACAAGTCTCTATCCAAAAGCGTACAAGTGTAGCACTTGTAGGTCTTGTGTTACAGGCCCCTGGTGGTGAAAACTGTCGGCACATATATATGTATGCCCCGGTTCAAAATATTTGATTGTTATTTCTTCGGTGGCTATTTCGGAGGAATTAACAACAAATACAAGGAAGCTAAAAAATGCCTAATTCTTATTTTGGGCAGAGAAGTTATCCATCCACAAGGTTATTTTTCTAGCAGCCTTGTTTTCCAAAAAAAAGAGAAGAAAGCACTAATGATGTCTTCTTTTTTTCTTCTCGCTATCCCTTCATGCCAAAGAGCTCCAATTAGTTTTAAATATTTCTGTTTATGTCTCACGGGGACAGAATACTCATTAAATACGATGATTCTGGGAGTGAAAATGGCTATTTTCCAGTCGTGCAGTAAATCCAATTTAGTAATACTGCGTTTTTGATTAAAGAACAGTGACGTTTTGGGAGAAGCAGACTAATAGTTTTTGCAGTTAACACACGGATACTGCAGTTTCCATTATGAATGGTTGGTTACTGCATTTTTAAAAGTACTTGATGACGTTTGAGTGTTTCATTGAGATACTGCATTTCTTTTTTCTCTATTTTTTTGGCGATTTTTTTTAAAATTTAGGATACTAGGATTGTAAAAAATAACCCTTTATAATCTGATTCAACAAAAATCTCAAAAACGACTTACTGCGCTTTTCATTAT